TCAGACTGAGGAAGTCTCTCGGATGAGAGACGAAACGTTTCTACATTTTTTTGTTGATTTGCTTTGTTTTGTTTTTTTTTAATGTCCAGAGGACCAGATTTAACTTTTTTTAGATTTTTCTACCTGGATTATTGAGCATGCATCAGGATGTCCAGATGACCTGACTGAAAATTCTTGGATTGTATACCTGGATTATTGAGCATGGACTTTGTTGGTCACACACTAACATTTCGTTGGACCGCCTTTAGCTTGATTGCGGCATGCATTCACTGTGGCATTGTTTCGATAATCTTCTGCAATGTCACAAGATCTATTTCCATCCAGTGTTGCATTAATTTTTCACCAAGATCTTGCATTGATGACTAGGCACTAGGCATGATGGGTGCATCACTTCACCTGCCTCTCTTCTTACCCTGATGCGCCCATCACTCTGGAACAGGGTAAATCTGGACTCATCAGACCACATGACCTTCTTCCATTGCTCCAGAGTTTAATCTTTATGCTCCTTAGCAAATTGAAGCTATTTTTTCCAGTTAGCCTCACTGATTAATGGTTTTCTTAAGGCTACACAGCGGTTCAGTCCCAGTCCCTTGAGTTCCCTCCACATTGTGTGTGTAGAAATGCTCTTACTTCCACTATTAAACATAGCCCTAAGTGCTACTGTTGTTTTTTTTTCATTTGATTTCACCAATCGTTTAAGTGATCGCCGATCACTATCATTCAGGATTTTTTTAGCCACATTTCTTCCTCGAAGACGATAGGTCCCCACTACCCTTCCAGTTTTTAATAATGCGTTAGACAGTTCTTAACCCAATTTTAGTAGTTTCTGCAATCTCCTTAGATGTTTGTTCTGCTTAATGCATGCCAATGATTTGACACTTCTCAGACGGACTGACATTTTTTCCACGACCACGCGATGTGTCTTTCAGCATGGTTGTTTAAAAAATGACAAACAACTCATCGCACCAGTTGGGGTTAAATAACTTGCTGCCAGCTGAAAGATAATTGCCCATGCAGTAATTATCCAATAGGAAGCTCGTACCTATTTGCTTAGTTAAATCGAGGTGGTGACTTTTTTTGGCCAGACAGTGTATTTTGACAATTCTAGACAAGCCTTAAGGCAGTAGCTCTGATCATGTTTAGGAAGGTCTTATTTTTTCTCTGAGCAGAGGTTTCTCCTGTCCTGCAACTTTAATCAGGACACCTCATGAATGTTTTATGTTCCAATAAAGCAGCAACTGCAATTTTTTTATGAGGCTTGCAGAAAGTGTGATGCCTTAAAAACCATACATTGATCAGTAAGTTCAAGTGTACGGGTGAGGGCTGTCAATGCCTCACATGAACTTGAGGTAGGCTGGCACAGAGTAGTTGAAAAGCAGGAAGTCCATTCGATAAAGATTGTACAGCTTCTTCTGGTAAAAAGGGCTGATGTTTTGGAAGAAGTGGGCTGCCATGTCTCCTGTAGTCCTGGTGTTTTTGGATGAAGCAGGGAAGCTGACTTGCTCATCTACTCCGGCTAGCTGCAGCACATAGTGGGAGTCCTGTTCCAGTGTCTCATACTTTCCCACCACATCATAGTGAATGAGACATGGGTGGCACAGTGAGTGTACTCTCTCCCAGTGTTCATTGAAAGGCTCTTCTCGCTGGGTTGCTGGGTCTACAAGGTAATACACAAACTCCTCAAAGGAAACATTGTTTCCTTTCTCCAGAGCTTCCGGTTGTGGGTCTGGCCTATGCCGCTGCACTATCTTTGTGCCATATCTTTTATGAAAAGCCGTGTTGTAGCTCCGTGTGAATTTATTGCGATACGCAGACACCAGCCGCTCAAAGGGTTCCCGTACAAAGATAAATTTTAGGTACGAGCGCAGGCGTTGGTTAATCTCTGAGGTGGAGTAATCTGACAGGGAGTTGAGATTTCCTGGAACATGGGCCTCATTAGCAGGGATTTCTAGTGGGTCTTTCTGGGCCCCAGCGACACCTGTTAGTATCATTAGGACCCTCTTCCAGTTGGTACAGGCCACTTTGGGCACGTAGCAGTACAACAAGCCATGCTGGTCATCCACAATGACATGCTTCAGGTCCTCGGGGATGAGGATTCTGCGTTTTTGAGTGTACGAGTGGCAGACTTCTTCTAACAGCTCCCGTCGACCCTGGTAAATCGTCTGCAGGGCTGATTCCACCTGTGGAATATACAGAAAGAAAATTAAACAAGGAGAACCAGGTTTAGAAGTTACCATCCGCTGTCTATATGTTACAAAGTCTCCTCAGTGCTGATCGTCTTAATAACGATTTACCAGTGGCCCTAACAAATGATAACCCATAAAAAAATCTAAGGAGCCACAGCTTTCTTATAAATAGCACCTTCCCATAGTGGATCAACCAAGTGGTTGACTCTGGTTGATCCACTATGTGAAAGTGTTATTTATAAGACGGGGTTTGTTGCAGCTCCTCAGACTGATTAAGTCTTTTGGGTGAAAAACAAAACATTTCAACAAAAAAGAAACCGTCCAGATGACCTGACTTAACTTTGTTGGATACATAATCCAGTTCATCTTGGTCTCCTAAAACCAGACATCCTATTTATTTATTTTACATGTGTAGGGGAACACCACCTTTGAACAGAGTTCACCTCATCTCAAAACAAACATCATTCATGTGTTTTGAAACTGTTAAAACAAGATGCATTTATTCCCTTGGGAACGAACAGACTTTATTTTACAGGTGTTAAACTCAGCTTACAAACTCCTTAGTTGCCACTAATCTAATGTAATGAAAACTGTCATTGTGTTAGCTTCACTGCCAATATGAACTCATTTCCCACGAAATCGACAGATCGTCTTAATACCATACCATACCATTTTATTTATAAAGCACTTAAAACAGCAACAAGGCCAACCAAGGTGCTGTACAGACAAAACAACAGGTAACACACAAAGCAAAATACAAAATGAGGTAAATCAGATAGACAAAAAATGATGCAGATAATGACGACAAACCAATGTGGAGAATACAGGATCAAAACACAGATCATCTTGTGTTGAAAGCTATTGAATAGTAGTGAGTTTTTAAACGGGACTTGAAAACCGAGAGGGAGGGGGCCTGTCTGACAAGCAGAGGTAACTCGTTCCAGAGTCTTGGTCCTGCTACAGAGAAGGCCCTGTCACCTCTGCGCTTAAGACGAGTTCCTGGAACTGTGAGGAGCAACTGGTCCGCTGACCACAGGGAGCGTGGAGGGACATACGGTTGTAGCAAATCAGAGAGCTGGGGTGGGGGGGGACACTGTTCAGTGATTTGTAGACATACATGAGTATTATGAACTGGATTTGAAAGTGAACCGGTAACCAGTGCAGTGAGGCCAAAACTGGTGTAATGTGCTCTCTTTTGCCTGTACTGGTTAAAAATCGGGCTGCTGCATTCTGGACCAGTTGTAGTCGTGCAATGGAGGTCTGACTGATACCAAACAGGAGCGAATTGCAGTAATCAAGCCTAGATGTAATGAATGCATGTATTACTGTCTCCAGGTTCTTTTTGGACAATATGAGCTTCAGTTTAGACAGCCGCCTCAATTGGAAGAAGCATGATTTAACAATCATGTTTACATGATTGTTAAGTTTCAGGGAAGGGTCCATTATTACGCCCAGATTAGTGACTCTTTGTTTTTCTGACAGGGTTAGAGCGGAAAGGTCGATGGAGTGGTTTGTGATTGTGTCGTTGGGAGGGAACAACATGACTTCAGACTTCTTTTCATTGAAACTTAAGAAATTTAAAGCCATCCAGTCCCTGATGTCAGCCAGGCAGTTGAGCAGCGGTTGAATAGAGCATGTACCATTGTGTCTTAGGGGGAAGTAAATTTGACAGTCATCGGCATAGAAGTGGAAGGGCATGTTGTGTTTCCGGAAAATAGCACCAAGCGGCAGCAGGTATAAAGAGAATAGGAGGGGACCCAGTATGGACCCCTGCGGAACCCCCCATTTAAGCTCTGCCTCTGCGGAACTAAAATCCTTGATGGAGACACAAAAGGATCTGTCAGTGAGGTAAGATCTGAACCAATTGAGGGCTGATCCTGTGACGCCCGCCCACTGCTCCAACCTAGCAATGAGGATCTCATGGTCGATGGTGTCAAAGGTGGCTGTGAGGTCCAACAGGACAAGCAGTACAGAACCACCGGTATCTGTGAATCTGAAGATGTCGTTAAAGACCTTCAGCAGGGCAGTTTCAGTGCTGTGGAGAGGTTTAAAGCCAGATTGGAAAAGCTCTAAAATGGCGTGATCCTCCAGGAAGCACTTCAACTGGGACTCGACTATTTTCTCCAGTACTTTAGAAACAAATGGGAGTTTGGAGACAGGCCGGAAGTTGGAAACGACTGAGGGGTCAAGGTTTGGTTTTTTCAGGAGAGGCTGGACAGCAGCATGTTTAAAGGATTTTGGCACAACGCCAGTGGATAAACTACTGTTTACTATGGCAAGAATGGACGGACCTAGAGTAGGAAAAACCTCCTTTAGTAGTCGAGGGGGGACCACATCAAAGGGGGAACCAGAAGGTTTCAAGCTGCACATGACCTACTCTAGAGAAGATAGAGTGATGGGTTCAAAATGGTCAAAAGGAGCTACAGATTGAGGTGGGATGGATGGGTCATGAGTTGGAGGGGAAATGAGAGCCCTGGTGGTCGCAATTTTTTCTACAAAGAAATGTAGGAAGTTGTCGCACAGCTCAGTAGAGGCTTCCAGAGGTGATGGTTCAGTGAGGTGGAGAACAGAGTTTAGGGTGGAGAAGAGGACACATGGGTTGTGAGAGTTTGAGGTAATTATATCAGAGAAGAATTTTGATTTAGCAGCTTTTACTGTTTTTTAATAACAGCGCCAACTCTCTTTAAGTATCTGGAAAGAGACCTGCAGCCTGTCTTTCCTCCAATTTCGTTCCGCCCTCCTACATTGCTGCCTAGCGGCCTTGGTGACGTCACTTAACCAAGGTTCTGCTCTGAGTTTTGATTTTTTGGTTTTAACAGGTGCAACATGATCCAGAGTCTTTAAGCAGACAGAGTTGAACTGGGATGTCAGCTCCTCAGTGATGGTGAGAAACACTGGGGGCTGAATGATCATTTCAGAGTTATAAACATCTGTGAAACGTGCGGCAGTGAAGTGGTTAATGGTTCGAGTGCGACGTGCAGGAATGCACGACTTAGGAGTTAGATGGGGGAGGGTGAACTCAAACCTGACTGGCATGTGGTCTGAAAAAACATTATCACCAATAACAAGATTTTTAACAGCCATATCATGAGTTAAAACAAGGTCCAGTGTATGTCCACACTCTTGGGTGGGACCGTTTACATGCTGAGTTAAATTAAATGAGTCCAATAAATCTAAAAAAGTCCTTAACCAAGGGCTTCTCAGGACAGCACACATGCAAATTAAAGTCACCAATAATGAAAATATGCTCATATTTTGGTGTGATTTCAGCCAAGAAGTCAGAAAACTCATTTATGAAATCCTTAGACCGAGGTGGGCGGTAGACGAGTGCAAATAACGTCGGAGGTGAATGTCCGAGTTCAAAGACGCTCAGCTCAAAGCTGGCGCGGGAAACTGGGATGGGCAGTTGTTTACAGTCAAAAGTTGATTTGAATATTGTTAATAATCCACCACCGCGCCGGCCTGATGGCCGCGGGGCGTTAAAACACAGACTGTTCGGTGGCAGTAATTCCGTCAAGGTGCTGGACTCACCCGGAGACATCCAAGTCTCTGTGATGCACAGAAAGTCCAGATCGTGCTCTTGAAAGTAATCCCGGAGGATAAAAGTTTTGTTGGTAACAGATCTTGCGTTGACCAAAAACATCCGGATATTGTCCAAAGAAGAGCCAGCAGCGGTGGAGTTAGCGCACGCTAATGGCCGCAGGTTTTCAATAACATCCCCTCCAGGTCGTTCCGGGCTGTACAATGGCTGACAACTCCCGCTGGTTACCTGGTCCGGGCACGCGGGAAGCTAGAGACCATGACCGCCAGCTGAAGAGGAAGATGCAGCGCGCAGAGCTTTCAGCTTCACCAGCTGACCAGCACGTTTTCCCCGGCGTCTGAAGCGAGATCTCCGGGCAGGCAGGTGAGGAGCACAGCGAAGGTAAGCTGGCACGTCCGCCAGCAGGGGGTGGGGGGGGGGGGGGTCCAGAGGTACGCTGATAATGGTCAAAATAAG